GTGCGGGCACTGGCAGCTTCTGTGGGGTGCTCGGGCCGCTCAAATCCGGCCCGGGGCCTGTGGGACAAGAGCGATATGAGCAGCTTGGGCGGGTCATTGACCTGCGGCCATACCAGGCCTGCCCGCTGTCCCACTGGGGCCCAGGGATGGTGACCAGTAAATATTGCAAGAGAAGAAAAAAGGAGGGAAGAAAAATAAAAAAGGAGGTGTGGAGAGGAAAGGCGGGGCCAGAGAAATAAGAACCTGGGGCAAGGAAAATGGCATTCACTAAGGAGCATTCGTGGGAATGGCCCCCAAATGACTCCTACATAGTAAACTGACTAAAGGATGGGCTGCCAGACTTTGATGTAGGTCTGCATCAAAAGTGGATTTTTAAAAAGAACTACAGGTGCATTCAGAGTTCAGAAAAGTAAGGGAATAACCTAAGTCAGTTAGGTTATTACAAAGTAAGTTGATAACATAACCTAAGTCAGATGCAAACTGGGTGTGGTCCTAAAATCACACTCAGTCCCCGCTGGACGGGCCCCGCTGTTAGAGCCAGGCCTCACAAACGCAGCCAGGAGCCTGCGGTCCTCTGGTGTGAACTCAAGAGGGCAGGCATTTCCCCTTCATGACCTATCAAGTATAGCTCAGATTAAATCAGTGCATCTCAGAACTTCAATTTCTTACTACATATTAGAGATATTTCTAAAAACTTTCAGTGCAGAGGAAAAACAATAGGCTCGTTCCACCTAATAAAAACTAGCAAATATGAAGATTAAAGGGAGCATTCTTTGCATGTTATCAGAATAAAGGGATATGCATTCACCAAGCTTACTGAACTGTACTTAATACGTTAATTTAAAGCAACTGTCCACATTGTACTTAAGAGGTTGGGATGGTAAGTATGAGCCTAACATAGGAAGATTCCATCTCTCCTCCTAAGTGGATTTTTACTTACTTCAAAATTATAAATACGATTAGAGGTGCCGCCGGATGACTTAGTAAATTAGAGAAAAGAAAATCTCAGTAAGCAGAAGTTAAAACCTCTCACAGGCATTCTTTCAAGAACTGTCTTTATCTTTTCCAAGAAAAATTAAGATGATTCAATCAATGGTGACAAAAATAATAGTCTATACACTTCAGAATGACTTAATAATTAACCATACAAAGACATACATTATGAAAAATTAAACACTTTTATTCAATTTCCAACACATACCTTTTAGAAATGGGCTTACATGACAATGCACAGGTAGCCATAAGCAAACACTCTGACAGGAGGAATGTGAAGAATTAGAACAAACTGCTTAGGAAACTGCAGAGTGAGTGTGTGTGTGTGTGTGTGTGTGTGTGTGTGTGTGGGTGTGGTGTTACTACTGTTCCTTTTCCCCCCTTCTTCTGAAGTTAGGTAAAACTTTCCAAAAGATACAGAGCTTGATAAGACTTCTTGAGGTAATTGGTAGTCCTGGTTCTGGTGTTGATGAAGAATTCTTGAGGGAAAAATATTTATTTTTATTGTAGACATTTTAGGTGTACTATCATAATAAAGAGATCCTTTTCAACTAAGTACTTTCTGGTGTGTGTGTGTGTGTTTGTTTTGTTTTCCTGAATGAGAGGTCTTTTGCATAGTGCATAGCTTTTCATAATATTTTATACTGTACTTAGAGTTTCTTTCATCCATATATAAGAAACCAACTTCTAAGCATTAAACCTCAGGGTTGTTAAGCATTGGCATGAGTTACAGAGAGACATTTCAGGATACCTTTTTCCCTAGAGGTCTTTAACAACAGGGTAGATTTTTCACTTGGGGTGCTTTAGGTGATCCAGCCAGAAGAGAGGAGCTGGAGATTTCTAACACTTACTTTAATCTTCTGTAATTCTACGAATCTCCTTAATAAGCTCAGGAAACTGGCAGAATTGAATATATCTGAAGGCTTGGTGTAGCATACTAAATAATGAAAACCCCCACCACCTTTAATAAAAAAGAACATGTGGGTCTTACTGAGAAGATAATATCATAATAATTACCTTAAATCCAGTTCTCCAATTGTTTTTCCTCTTTCCAAAGTTTAAATAATTCATCAACAAAAAGCCATAAAAGTGTAATACTGTTACAAATTTCAATTATTCTGGGCATTTTTTTCTTTAGCATGATAGTCTGCAAATACCTATGCAGAAGCCTATGATGACTCCTTGATGTATATATTCAAGTCACTATTTTTAAAAACCACATTCCTCCCCCCCCCAAAAAAAAAAATAGGCACCCAGAGCATGTGTGATATCCCTGGTTCCAAATCTAGTCACTTTTAGCCTCTGACTCCCAACTAAAGCTGATACACGCATGACTGGCCTTTGGCCGATAAATATAAAGGCATTCTTATCTGGTTGATTGGACCTTAAAATTGAGAAGCAGAGACAGAGACCCAAACATGGGTGTACACAGCCAAATCTCCAACTTAAAAAGTACTACAAATTACTGTGAATTAAACAGGGACACGTAAAGCGCCCTGGACCAAAAGAACGGTAAGCGTCCCCTCAGCTCTATCGCCAGCTGGCTGCGTGAGCCTGAGCAACTGCCTTAACCCCTGTACCTCAGTTTCCTCATCTGCAGAATGGCGGTAATAACAGTGCCCACCTCAGAGGGTGGCAGTGAGGATTCAATGAGACAATGCAACTCTGCTCCATCCTCAGCTTTTGTCATTTTTGCTGCCACCAAGGACACAGAGATAAAGAAGTCTAATTTAACTACGCAGCTCTGCACAGACTGCATGGCAAAGAAAGGACTTGGGGAAATTGGGTATGGTCTTAGCTGGCAACTTTGGAAATGCCCCTTTCTCTACAGCAAACTTCAGAATGTTCCCAGAGTTTAATACAACTCAGCACAAATACGCCGAGAAGCCGGCTTGCCCTGCGCTTCCTGGGAACCTGCCATCAGACTCACTTACAGGCAAACTCCTTTCCTAACTAAACACACACGTTTATTTACTGCGTGGGTCTGCTTTCCACTCCCTCCAACCGATTCTAGAAAAACTTCTATGTGCAGAGGCAGCTGGCCACAAGCAGACATGCCCAGAATGGCACCACCTGTCCCCAGGTTTTCTGCCCGTCCCTCAGGCGGCTGAGAGTGGAGCTGCCAGGCTGGAAATCATCTCCACAGCAGACACTGGTGGTCTGCTAACTGATAAGACCTCTCCCTGGTATCTGCAAGTGGAAGACAAATTACATTCTTTAGCTTATCTCCGACTCCCTCTATAATGTAAACAGTTTAGGCTTAATTGTCAGAGGCACAAAATGCATCTGCTTTCCCTTCGGTCCTCACCTTAGAAGTCAAGGTAGAGGGATGCTCTGACTCCCCTGAGGGGCATCCCAGTGCAGCTAAGGGGAAGGGGGGTCTTTACTGGAGGCACCCCATGCCTGAGGTTAAGAAACAGGGAAACAAACTCATTCAAACACCTCAGTCTCACAAGTACAGAATGTCTATGCATTCGGAGTTCCCAATTTGCCTTCTGGCTCACAAAGGTATTTAGGCAAATAACAATTCTGTGCATTAAAGAAGGATTGAAATGGTTTCCACAGATTAAAAAAAAATATGGCCTGTCCGGCGTGGCTGAGTGGTTAAGGGTCGACCTATGAACCAGGAGGTCACAGTTCAATTCCCGTCAGGTCACATGCCCTGGTTGCGGGCTCCATCCCCAGCAGGGGGCGTGCAGGAGGCAGCCAATCAATGATTCTCTCTCATCATTGATGCTTCTATCTCTCTCTCCCTCTCCCTTCCTCTTTGAAATCAATAAAAATATATTAAAAAGAAAAAAGAAATGTAATAAAGCATACTTACATTGAACATACCAAGAAACTTTAGCTGACTAAAAAGTGGAAGTGGAAGGGGGCTGAAAAAACTGAGCAATAAAACTTTTACTTTCTACCATAAAGTCCTGCCTGCACCCCTCCACCACCAACCCAAATCTTTTTCAGTTCCCATTTTTAATTTTGCTTTAGTATCTAAAAGGAAAAATGAATCAGAATGAAAAGAAAAATGATGGGTTAGATTTGAGGGGAGCCCATAACAGGACTGAAGAGTTATTTGCTCGGTGAGCAATTCCTCCAGTCAAACTGTAATTCTCTGGTGGTAGCTATGATGATGTCAATTTTGGTGATTTATAACCTTGGAGCAGGTTTGAGGCAGACCACCCCAGCCAAAAAGATTCTCTTCAGACATGAACAGCACCAGAAAATGGGACAAAAGGAAAATGAAATCACAGCTACCTGCAGATAAGTGGACATACTTAAACTTACTTTTTCTGAAATATTTGTAGAGGTATTTATAAGCAGTTATACTTTATTTTAAAAGGGGGGGCAGGCAGGTGTTGCTCAATGTATTGAGCACCGCCCAATGGACCAAGAGGTCCCGGGTTCAACGCCCAGGTGGCAGGCTCCATCCCCAGTGGGGGCATGCAGGAGAGAGCGGATGGATATGTCTCTCTCATCGATATTTCTATTTCTCTCCCTCTCCCTTCCTCTCTGAAATCAACAAAATATTTTTTAAAAAGAGGGAGAGGAAGATAAACAGTAACAACTAATAAAAGGTAATTATTACCTTAAAGAAAACTTGTCCCCTTATTTTGACTTGTCCTAGATGCCAATCCAAAAAACGTCTTTGTCAGGGAAGGTTATCATCTCCCTGTGAAACCTGAGATTTGGGGAAAAGTTCAGCAATGCTGTTAGAGGCGACGCCCTTCCCAGGACAGGAATGGGTCTGCTCTATTTGAGGAGGTATCTGCTTTCCTCCTCCATCTACTCTGGCATAAAACACTGTCTGCCCAAATATTTCCATTTCTAGGGAAGCCTGACTCCTGGAAATCCAAAAGACATGAGCAGTGAGTAATAAAGTGAATTCCTGCCCTGGCCGGTTTGGCTCGCTGGATAGAGCTTCGGCCTGCGGACTGAAGGGTCCCAGGTTCGATTCCGGTCAAGGGCATGTACCTTGGTTGCGGGCACATCCCCGATCAGGAAGCAGCTGATGGATGTTTCTAACTCTCCATCCCTCTCCCTTTCTCTCTGTAAAAAATCAATAAAATATATTTTAAAAATAAATAAATAAAGCGAATTCCCCCAGATGACAGGGGCCTGGTGAGGGAAGATGTAGGCATCGAGCTGGGTTAAAAAAATGAAGCCCTCTCTTCTGGAAATGATCCAGAAAACACACAGGATCCTGTTTATTAGGACAGGAAGTATTTGTTATGTTCAAGTATCCAGACACCTGGAACTTCATCCTTTAACATTCCCAGAGAAAACAACATTCATGGAAGGGCACCCTATAGCCCCCTGTAGCTCTGAATTCTACCAGTGGCATGAAGTCAGACCACCAGAAGGCCATACAAGGACTATCTCATCTCAACACGTGACATATGTCATAGCCTCGACTTTGATTCCAGGATACGTAAGAACACTAGGCCATGTGGATTCTGTTACTCCATTTATGATCAACAAATGTTATCGATACCTCTGTCATGCAGCACCACTTACAATAACAACATAATTTAAAACAACAATTCCAGCCCTGGTTCAGGTGGCCCAGTTGATTGGAGCATTGTTCGTACACCAAAAGGTTGTGGGTTCGATTCCCAGTCAGGGCATATACCAAGGTTTCAGGTTCAATTCTTGGTCTAGGCACATATGGGAGGCAACCGATCAATGTTTCTCATATCAATGTCTCTCTCTCTATCTCCCTCTCTAAAATCAATAAAAAGTATATCCTCAGGTGAGTATTAAAATAATAATAGTAATAAATTCCACGTAGGAAATCCACTTTTTACTCTCAAGCTACAAATGGGCCTGTGTCCTCTGTGAACTGGTGAGCAACATCCTTCCGAATGGTGAGAATTAGTGCCTGACCCTGTCTCCTTTCCTGCCTGGACACCCGTCATCTTGGATGCTCAGATGCACAACCATGAGAACTCCTGTGGCCCCTACATGCTTGACCTGGACTTGCATTTCCCTTTGTTTCTGACTTTCTATTTGACAATTATTTCACTGCGGGTATGTTTCTTGGAAACCTCCCCAAATGCTTTTCACAACGAAAAGGGAGAGGAAGCGATCAATCAAAGGGCATAAGATGGCTCGAGGGAGCAGATTCAAGGAGTACGTTCTTAGTGATGGAACGCACTGGGTGCAGACTTCTTTCCCTGGGGCTGGTGGACGGGCTCCCGCAAACCTTGCACCTCTTGAAAGAGAATGCAAAATCACGGGAGACAGTGCCTTTTGCCCAGGTCTACAGCTTGCACCAGAGTCCCCAACGGTTGAGAAGCTCAAACAGCAGAAAAGACCAGGAATCTGGGCCAACTAAGTAAAGCAAGGCAAGGGAACAGGCAGGCCAGGTACAGCGAAAGGCTGAGACAGCCCTGGGCTTCTACCAACCCAGTGCTTCTGTGCCATCAGCAGTCTTTCTCCTCCGAGTTGGACCATCACATGATTCATGTGGTTGCATATTAACCTACCAGATGGTCTGTTGAAGTTAACAAGGGCCTGCTGCTGCGGCTGCTGCGGCTGGGGCGGTGGCTGCTGCGGCGGTGGTGGCTGCTGCTGCTGCTGCATGCCAGGCAACGTCCTTTTCCCCTGGACTGCGAGCTGCAGCGTTTCGGGGAGGTGCTGGCCCCGGGCCAGCATTTTGTAAGCTAAAATCTGAGCCCGCAGCTGATGCAGCTGGACAGGACTGAAAGGCGAGGGACCTCTGTTGGGCTGGTTCATCGCCTGCGGATCGCCAGGGATGAGGGGCCCTGGCTGGTTCGGTGGCATCTGGGGTGGGGTAGGGCCACCTCCCGACGACATAGGGCTGGAGATATGCTCTGCAGCTCCCAGGGGAGAAGGGTGTGGTGACATATAACCTAGAAGAAAACACAAAAGGAAATCACAGGCCGCCCCTGATGACCCTGGAAGAGAGGCATTCCTGGATATTTTGGTAATTTTCTACAACAGCACTGTCTGTTAGAAATTTAAAATGTACATAATGTAATCACCACATTATTATATAACAAAATTTATATATATCAAATATATATAATTTAAATTTTTCTAGTAGTTACATTAAAAAGTAAAAGAAGCAGATAAACCTAATGTTAAATAATATATTTCATTTAAGTCAACGTACCCAAGATATTATCATTTCAAAATGTAAAAATTGGTAAAGAGACATCTGCATCCTTTGTTCACCATCTCGATTCAGACCAGCCACGTTTCAAGTGACCAATAGCCACCATGTGTCCTCGAAGGTAAACTGTTAGTGGCTGCTGTCCACCTACAGGCACCTGGGGGTAAGTCTCACACATTAAAAGGAGCTCCAACCTCGAAACAAAACCCGCAGGTGTCTGCTATATCACAATGTGAAATGAAGCGTCTCTTACGGAGGCAAACATTACGTGGCTTATTATGCACATTAGGAATAGTTTGCAATCATCGAGGGTCTGCACTGCTGTAGGAGTGTACATGGCACCGTACATGTTGTCTTCATTGAGTTCTCCCTGGAAATAGCCTGACGGAAGGATGGAGTGCAGGTGATGCCCCTGGAAGGAGCAAGGACACTGGCAGGGGATGGAAAGGTAGCTCAGGAAGGGAAGGCAGCCAGTAAGGGCTGTGCTGTTGAGCCAGCTGCTGCAGCGGGTGCCTGAAGATTAATCTCGTGCAGGAGCTCTGGTATATAAAGTAAGTAACTTGCCTCCACGTCACCCCAGGGAGGAGTACGGAGCTGGATGTTTACACTCCAAGGATCACCTGTCAGTGCTCATGTCACTGGGTTCTTTCTAGGGTCTAATATTAACTGTTTGATAAAAATATTATTAACTTTGTTTTTTAAAGACTTAAAAGTTTCAAAAATCTTCTAAAGACCACAATACATAAAAATGAGAGTAAACAGTTTGGGTTGTAAGAGATCTAAATGGGAAGTTTAAGAATACTTTTCTTGAGGAAGAAAAGGCAAAATGAACAAAAATTACAAGGAACTTGTTTCAGGAGTTGAACTGTATAGCTCAGCCACCGAATTCCTAGCAAAACCTATGACTGTGTGTTGCTGGAGGGAGACCCAAGATGAAGGAGAGAACCAAGTGGCCGACTGCAATCTGAGAGGTTGCCTTGACTTCAAACCAAGTGCTAATTAATGAAGTCAAAGGTGTCCTCAGACACAATAGAAAAGATCAGATGAAAGGTCTCTGCTCTTTAATAAATGGACTTGTGTCATAATTATAATAAAGGTCAGCACCTAGGTGTTTATTGGACAAGTGCTGTGTGTTTGAACCTTTGTTGAGTTTGAGCTGAAACAGCTTTGTGCACCTATGTGGGACCATCGCGACCTGAGACTGTGACTGCCACAGGCTGGAGACGCACGTCACCCTTCACCAGACTACAGAAAGGAAAGGACACAGTTACTTTCACCTCAGATTGCCAGTGGGAAAGGGAAACACATTTAGCTTGATCCCCTAAGACGAGAGTAGGGTTTGTTGGATCAATTGGTGACCAGTAGAACTCCTTTCAGAGAAATCCTGTCCTGAAGAGAAATGAAGAACTACCCTCATTCCCCAAATCCCTACTCCATAGGGAGCACGAAATCACACAGCAATTAGGGTTCTAGTTGGTCATATAAGTTAGCCAAGAAAATGCCCCTGAAATCAGCCTGCAAAGCTAACAGAAATTTAATCCCAATAACATACACCTATCTTCATCATTAACAACATTCTTCCTTTCTTAATGAGGTTTAGCTCTCTAATTGTAATGCTGGTGCAAAGCTTTTGTTCATTATAAAAGCACCTTCCAGACACCTTTTGGCCAACCCTGCACCTATCACAGGGAGAAAAACTTCCTACCAAAGCTAATGACACTCATAGTAGAAGGTGTTAAAATGGGTCATATGTCTCCTGCTCTGGTCTCTCCTATTTCCTAAGGTTATCAATTACAGCTTACTTATGATAAATCAGAGGATGCCTAACATAATGAACCAAAACATAATGAACAATCCAGTCTTAACTATATAACATTGTTTATCATATCTCGTGTAAACTGTGAACTGTGGGCAAAGTTATGAATGACAGTTACATTATGCACAATAATTAATTGTACTTTAAACTGGTTAAAAAAGAAACTGAAAGTAGTATAAAAATCACTTTCCATAATTAATCAATAAACAAAATGTTTCCTCAAATTTAATAAGAAGAAACTGAAGGTGGGAAAATTGCTTCCTAGAATTTATAGGGGATGTCAATAGAATCATTCTATCACAGAATGATATTAAAGACTAGAGGCCTGGTGCACAAATCCGTGCACCAGTGGGGTCCCTTGGCCTGGTGGAGTCCCTGCGGGATAGGGACAAAACCGGCTCTCCAACATCCCTGAGTGATCCCGGATTGTGAGAGGGCGCAGGCCAGGCCAAGGGACCCCACCAGTGCATGATCAGGGCCAGGGAGGGACGCAGAAGGTTGGCCAGCCTGGGAGAGACTGTGGGAGGGCTCCAGGGCATGTCCAGCCCATCTTGCTCAGTCCCGATTGGCTGGACCCCAGCAGCAACAAGCTATACCAGTCGGAGCATCTGCCCCCTGGTGGTCAATGCATGTCATAGGGACTGGTCGGCTGGTCAACTGTCTGCCCCTGGTGGTCAGTGCACATCATAGCAAGCGGTTGAGCAGCCTTAGCATATCATTAGCATATTATGCTTTGATTGGTTGAACTAAGGACCAGATGACTGGACACTTAGCATATTAGGCTTTTATTATATAGGATGTGACAGTGATTCAGATAAAGAAAATTTTTTGTTCTAAATGACTAGCATTCAATAAACTTTAGGTAAAACAGAATCTAAACGATGAAACAAAGTATTTTGGCAATTATCTTTAGTTGAAGAAATAGAGTGAGGAAATTGCCCAAGTGTGAGTATTTGTCTGAGGATGACAATGTTGATACAGAATCTGCTCTTTTTGAAATCTAGTTTGATATGCTCATTCAAAAGCAGTCAAAATGTGGCAGTTTTCTTTTCCTCGTCCTCAAAGGCCATTATCTCCCCAGTTTCACCTTGCCTCAGAGCGACACAATCATCTTTCTCCTTTTAATAATCTTGAACTTATAAGTGTCAATTTTATATGAATTTTCTCTATACACACACATACACACACACATGCAAACACGAAATATTATATACTTGCCTTTGAAGACTTTTTTTTTTTTTTTTACCCAAGGACTAAAAATAAACAATGTTATCATTGGGACCATAAGGTACACAATTCAGTATTTATTGAAAGAAATGGTTTTGCTTCTCAACCAATCACTTAAAATAACTTAATAGGTTGCTAGGTAGTTAAAACTGGCAGGTTTCTGATCAATACCACATCTCTCTGTACCTGTGTGTTTATAAATGGCTCTCTACACTAGGGTTTTTAAAGATACATGTTATTATAGAGTCTAAAGTCTTTTAAAATCATTATACTAAATAAGACTGCATTATACCAATACTACTTTGTCAAAAATACATGTTTAAATAACTCATTCCCCAGCCTACAATGCACTTTTACTATTTTAGAGAAAAATATTACATGCTAATTTTGATTCCACTTAATGCAGACCCCTGCATTTCAAAGTAATTATAATTTACTGAAGTAATATAAAAATTAAGAGTTAAAATTGTTGATTTGTGAGTGCAGAGGTTCACTTCTCTACCTAATTGAACAAAATTTACTAAGTATGTATCCAGTTATGTGCTACATACCCACTGGTGCCAAGTGTTGGAGAGTCCAAGAAAAATCATCATTCTTAAGTTAATGAAAGGAACCAAGCAATGAGAGAAATTTGAAGATACATAAAAGTAAAAATACTCCATTAAAATTCATGCATTTTGGAGTTTTCCCATGGCCCACAGTTAGAGGCACTACAAAGCCAGAACAGATAGAGCAAGCACATGGCTTTGCCAATCACTGAATACAGCTCATCTGCACTTCCCAAGTATTAAAAATTAGAGCTACATTAGCTCTGTGAACACACCTAGCTCCTTAGAATTTTAATTCATTCTTAATACTAAATGGGTCAACTTTTTTCTTCCTGGACTGTAAAACGTCCCAAGACTTTTTCAGGATGCTTTTCTGACATGGTCAAGATTTTGTGAGTCATCTGCAACAACTATACCTACCTGTCATTAAAATTCAGATCAGAGTCTGGGATATTCACAACCCTGTTTGCATATTAATGAAGACACACTCCTATGCCACCATGACTTTCCATCTTTGAGGGCGGGGCAGTCAATTAGCATATTCCCTCCTTATTGGCTGTGGGCGCCGCCATCTTTGAGGGTGGGGCAGTCAATTAGCATATTCCCTCTTTATTAGATAGGATAAAACTGACTATATTTTTCTAAATCCTTACACTCGAAAACCTTCTCTCAGGTGGTTGGAGGCCTAATCATGGATGGAGAAAAAAGCTCATACTAGTATATATTAAATTACATAGGAGTATACAAAAGAATGCATAAACCATAAACTTTGAATTAGAATATCAACATACTGGGGTTAATTAGTGCTAGAATAACCCATGCCCCTTGCATGTTTAATGACCATACCATGATTCTGAAAACAAGTTATATTGTATTCAAAAGACTTTGAGGTATCTTTACATGCCTTCAACAGTGAGGGGAAAAGGCACCAAGAAGAAGAGAAATATTCCATATATTGATTTGGCCATTATTGTGGGTTGAATCGTGCCTTCTACAAAGATAAGTTTGAAACCCTAACCCCTAGTCCCTGTGAATGTAACCTTATTTGGGAATAGGATCCTTGCAGATGTAATCAAATTAAGATGAGGTTGCTGGGCCAGCATGGCTCAGTGGTTGAGCATTGATCTATGAACCAGGAGATAACAGTTCGATTCCCAGTTAGGGCACATGCCTGGGTTGTGGGCTCTGATACCCAGTAAGGGGCTGTGTGGGAGGCAGCTGATTGAGGATTCTCTCTCATCACTGATGCTTCTATCTCTTTCTCCCTGTCCCTTCCTCTCTGAAATCAATAAAAAAATATATATATATATTTTAAAAGGATGAGGTCATAGTGAACTAGAGTAGGTCCTAATCTGATGACTGGTATCTTTATAAGAGGAGGGAAATCTGGAAACAGACACAGACACACAGGAAAAATGTCATGTGGAGACCAAGACAGAGATAGGAGGGATAGATCAGCAAGCCAAAGAATTCCAAGGATGTTGACTATCTACAGAAGCTAGGAAGAGGCAACAAATTCTTCCTACAGTCCTCAGAGCGCACGGCCCTGCTGGTACCTTGATTTCAGACTTCTAGTCTCCTAACTGTGAAAGAATGATTTTCCATTGTTTGAAGCCACCCAGTTTGTGGTAATTTGTTACAGCAGGCCTAGGAGACTAATACAACTACCCACCAGCAATGACAGGTAATTCCACTGCCAAAAAAAGGCACCTTTCAGACAATGTATGTATGAATGTGCAGTTTGAGAGACTCAGGAGGCGCATTGTGCCTTCACATCTACTGTTGTTGGGAGGCAGACCAGGATCCTCCTTCCGGCCTGTCACTTACAGGTGGTGGAAATTGGGAAAACAAAGTAAATTCTCTTTTATCCCATCTATAAAACCGGGATGATATAATTCACCTCACTAGATCATGATAAAGATTCCGAATGAAGTACGCAGGGCATTCTGCTAGCTAGTGGAAGCTAGTAAAATTATGAGGGTTTTGTTAGTAAAAGTGACCACATGAATAATCAAGTTGTGTTGGTGGGGACTGGGGGTGATTTCTATAGAGAAAAGAAACGTGCTGGATTCACTCTTCCTCTGACATGTTCTTTGGAAGTCACAGTTAAAATAACCAATATGAAAGACGAACGACTACGGTTTGAAGCCAAAATCAGGCATGTAGCGTTACAGACCTTGGCTGTGTTGATCCATCGGACTCTGGGGCGGGCCCATCCCGGGGTGAGGTGGTCGCATGCCGGTGCCCTTCATGGACCCGCAGTGGATGTCTTCTACAATGCCCTTGTCGTGCATGCCATCCATGGGCTGAAACAGGCGAAGCACTGCTGTTAGATACCTCCTTCATATAGAGCATCTCTATCTGGAGTTGTAAGTCCCCTCTCTAAAGTCCTCAAAACTGTGGCACAATCACCTATCACCCATACGATAGTCATATTTTTACACCTACATTACACATATTATTATAATATATTACATATATTTTAGAGGTGGGGAAAAAAATTAAAAAGACTACATCAATAGGATCATCAAAACTACCTGTTAAGTCAAAAGTTAAGACTATAAACAGTTGAATTTTTCCTGTAACGTCAAAACCTGAAAGTAAAAATAAAATTCTGCTCACAAGGTATACAAATAAAAGCTGTTCTTCTATACCTTCTTAAGTAAGTCCTGAAACCTGCCCTGTGTTGAAGTAGTCCCTAGTCTGAAGGAAGACTATTTGAAATGCCTGTGATGATTGATTTGTTGGGTAATTTTTTGTCATCAGAGCGGAAGGGACTATGGAAAGTTTAAAAGTTGAAACCAGAAAGTTCCATGGCAGTTGGGAAAAGAGAAACAGACCGGGTAGAGCAGAGAATGGGGTGACCACTGAAAGGGAAGGGCAGTGAAACAGATGAAGCTGTGCCACAGAGGGGGGCAAGACTGAAAAAGGTTAAAGGCACAGTTTGGGGGAAAATTAAGAACACAGGGTCTGGGAACAGGACTTGAGGCCTAGTACATAACAGACACACAATAAATAGCTATTGAGCGGACGTTAATCCAATCCAGAATTGGGCATCGGAGCATGTGTTTGGGAAAGGCAAAGTCGATTCCTCTGCAAACTGCAACAGCAATTTTCAAAAACAGCCTGAAAGGAATATTTCCAGGAGTTTATAGAAACCAAATAACTTCAAGCAAGAAAGCATGAATGTTTGCAGTTTTGGAGAAAGGAAAGTTAATTTCTGCAGAGTCAAAAGCATGCACTTGAAAAGAGGAAAGCTGTACCATAAAGAGGATGTTCAGAAGAAAAACGGGAAGGGTTTGGTATAAAGACTGTCTCTGAGTGTGTTAAATAGTAATAATAGGGAGGAAATCAAAGCAACACAGCAGATGCATTTAGGCCACTTGTTTATTTATTTCCAGTAACGTTGCAAAGCAAAAAGCTGACGCTCAGAGGGAGAAGGGGGAGAAAGACAAGGAAGACAGCTGTCCATAAAAAGAGTAAGAAAGCGAAGGCATCTGGTCAGCAGGTGTGAACTTAGGCACTAAACCCGTCCTCACCCAGGGAATTATCTGAGGGGCTGGGGGCTCAGGAGAACCAGATTGGCAAAAAAAATGCACACCTTGCAGAATGAGAGCAAAACCAAACAAAACAGAGTTTAGATGGGGGTAGAGAATATGAGGACATGTGAACAGAAGGGGTCGGAAGAGATAATTATTAATAAAAACAACCCAGTGCAAAAATGTAACACTGACCCGACACTTATTATACAGCTAACGTTTTTTAAAAAATATTTTTATTGATTTCAGAGAGGTAGGAAGAGGGGGGGAGAGAGAGAAACATCCATGATGAGAGAGACTCATGGAGCAGCTGCCTCCTGCAAGTCCCCCACTGGGGATGGAGCCTACAACCCAGGCATGTGCCCTTGACTGGAATCGAACCTGGGAACTTTCAGTTTGCAGGCAGATGCTCTATCCACTGAGCCAAACCAGCTAGGGCCAGCTAACTTTTAAATGCTTAAATAATCATAGAGATTAGCTAAATATGTCCTTTACATTTTATCTTTCATTTTGGAGGTGAGACATCCTTAACCCATTCTGAAATTATTTAACCCATCTGGACTAAGGTTTTACAAGTGACAGATCAGATCTATAATACAACTCCCAAATTAATTTAATATGAGCAGAAGACAATTTAATGACTTCAGTCTGTCTATATGTTCAATATGTCTGCTAAAAATATGATATAAAAAACAGTTTCATTTCATCAGCTACCTGACAAGCTAAAAATGTGTTTGTTTTTCTTTTTCTAAAAATAAAAGGAGAGAGAACTTGGGAACATTATAGGGATATTCACAATATATTTTTAAATGCAAAGAAGAAAGTTGCAGAGTAATTAAGTAGGAATATGATTCTATTATGGTGAAAGAAAAATTATTTTAAAAAATCACACCTGTGTATGATTTTTACTGAGCATGGAGAAAAGTAAGGTGTGAAAAGCTGTCAACTGGGGTAGAGCCAGGATTAACCATTTCCTTTATTTATCTCAGTATGGTTTCATTTTTCAAAATAAGCACTATATTACTTTTCTGATTTGAAAATCATCAAATTACAAAAATTTGTAAAGAAGTGGGTCTTTTCTTTTGGTCTCCAATGCCTTAGCTTAAAATTGACCTACAGTCCCACACAATTAGAAGAAAGACTTGCTCTTTTTTGCAGTAATCTTTCCGTTTTAAACCAGTATCTCCCATGTTTTGTCTATTTAACATTAAGAGGCATCCCACCACCTTATCCCCGTGATGTTATCCACAGGGGACGTAAAACCTCTACTGTCTCATCAGGCACAACCTTCAGGTAATATGCAGTGGCCTCACAGAGTTTCCTTGGCTTTTGCTAACTTTCAAAGCAAATTGTCTCAGAGGCTCTTGTTTACTTGCTCCAAAGGCTGTTCTCTCCTCTTTGCATGTCCTGTGAAGGCCTAATGCCAAAACTGTCCCAGTATGACCATCCCCACAGCAACAATCCAAGTCTCACAAACAGAGGATCATTCTAACAGTCCAGAAACAGACGCTGGCCCCGAGCTCTGCTAAATCAGGCCCCTCTCCCAGAATGAAGCCACTGAGAGAGACAGCCAAGTGCCTGCGAGGGCCTCCCTAGAAACTACCTAAAATCTTTTGGAGGGGACTCATGTTCCTTTTACTCTTTGAGATCTAATTTTTAAAATAAACACCAACATTTTAAAGAAAGAATAATTCTCAGTATGTTCATTTGTGGATGATATAAGTTACTGAACACATAGTCAGACTTATTCATTTATACACTTATTCACCAAGCCAAAATAGCTGCAACCCATACATCAGAGAATTTAACTATCAGAACTGCATATTCTATCTTGTCTTTTTAAAAAGCCACGATCTCATCTTCCTGACTAGTGCAACATCTGTAACAATAAACAAGCCTCAGAAGGTATGTTTTTAATAATATTCAGGGTAAGACAAAGACCTAGCTTCTCTGGTAAAAGTAGCAGAAACAGAGGGGCAGGGGTTACCAGGGACATTAGCCGTCCACGACGCAGAAGATGAGCCTGAACAGGAGAAGAACCTCTTACCTTGTGCATCTGATGCATGCCTTCCTGCGGGAAGTCGGCAGACCCCATCGTCGGCATAGGGTGTGAGACACTTGGAGGTCCAGGACTTGGCCCCATCATACTGTGGACGGAACCTGGAGATGGTCCAGGTCCCGGACTAGGTCCGAGAATTGGTCCAGGAGAGGGTCCGGGCCCTGGCGAAGGCCCTGGGTGGGGCATCGCACCAGGGTCAGTGGGTGTGGACATCTACTTCTCCTGTCTCTGCCAGTCAGTACAATGATACTGAGTTGAAAAGAAGGGGGAAAAAAGGAATGTTTTCAACATGATGCTAAGATCAGAATAAAACAGTTGTTAGTATTTGACGGTGCCATTTTTATAACAAACATCAAACAGAACTGCCCTGCCTGCTCCAGATGTTTGAATGTGATATATATCCATCTGCCCTAGTCTTTATGAAGACCACTTGTTTAAAAGAAAAAAATACTCTAAATGATTCCCCAGAAAGATACAAATCATCTAAGATACAAAAAGTACTCACTGGAGAAACTCAAATTTAGCACATAAGCAGAATTCTGAACAAGTTTGAAATTTATTACTGAAGCCAACAGATGCTCTCCATTACTTACTGGCTGGGGCACCTAGCAAGTCATTAACCTCCCAAAGCCATTAAAATATAACCCCCTTAAAACATATCCAACCAACATCCATTTTCATAAGTAAATGGACATTCAAAACTTCATAGAAAATCCTAGATAGTTAAAATCCCAGATAGCGAAAAAGTACAATTCCATAAATTGAGAATGAAAGAGAATCCCCAATCATAGGAAAAGCAGAGGTTATGGGAGTCAGACAAATATGGGTTCACATATCCATGTGATATAATTATTAGCTGAGAGTGAAATGCAACAATACATGTAAACACACAGTTCTTTGCCTGGCACAATAAGCAGCCATCTATTATTATTAAGCAGCATCTATTATTATTATTATTATTATAAAATTGGTATTCAGATTATATATATTTCAGGTGTTCAACATTATAGATGTTTGGATACACTGCATGGTGTTCACCGCTGTAAATCTAGTTACCATCCATCACCATATAATTGACCCCCTTTACCCATTTCACACTCCTCTCAACACCTTTCCCATCTGTTCTTTCTATGATTTTGTTTGTTCATTGCTTTTTTTTAAGATTCCACATATAAGTGAAATCATACAGTATTTGTCTTCTCCGTCTGACTTGTTTCACTTAGCATAATACTGCCCTCAAGAGTTCCTTCCTTTTAACGGCTGAGTAATTTCCATTTTCTTTATCCATTCATCTACCAATGGGCACTTAAGCTATTTCCATGTTTTAGCTATTGTAAATAATACTGCAAGGAACATAAAGGTGCCTATATCTTTTCAAATTAGTGTTTTCTTCTCCTGTGCCCACTCTTTTTAGCATTATTTTCCCACAACTGCCACAAAACCAGAGGTGATCAGAAGGATCAGTTTAAGACGTGGTCCTCCTGCCAGCCAATGGAAGACAACTTGGACAGTCGAGAATTCGTCCTAGGCCTCTCTGTGGTACAATATTCCAAGAGAAGCCATCCATGACGCCTGGATCAGGGCCCACGACAGATGAGGTATGTCAATTCTGGGTCTATTTCAGCAAAGTCATATTCCATCGCCCAAGCTCTGTAACTTCTTGGCATCCCCACTGAGGAGCTCCCTTATGGGGTGGGTACAACTGCATCTTGGACATGAGCCAAAAACAAGTAAATAAGTGTTTTTCCAAATCGTGATGGAGATCAATGATCCCAGAAAGACAGCTGAATGCCACTAGTGATAGTAATTATTACACAGTATGTTATCTAGGGGCACACACCTGTACACACAAAAACTTTTTGCTGTTACCCTCACAAAATACAGAATGAGACACCATAAGAGATTTAATTACCCACTGCTTAGTGGCAGGGATAGAATTAGACCACAAGGGCCCAGTCACCTATAACAAGGCCCTCTCCACAGTGAAAGTAGAGGTTTAAAAAAAAACAACCCACATTAGTTCCATTCTTAGCTACCTACTATCACCTCTCGCAGAATCTCTAGACTGTGAAGGCCATGAAGACAGGTTTGGCTCTTTTTCATTCCTGTATCCCCAGCACCTCTGACCAGCATGTAGTAAGTGCTCAAAAAAAATCTGAATGAACTGAAACGACAATTTCAAGGGCAAGCGATTAACAGAGTCAATTATTTTATATATAAAAATTGTAGAGCAATCAGTGTCTGAGGTGTGTTCACAGGGACCAGTTTGTAAAGTATGACTGCCTAATCATTATACTATGCACCTGAAACTAACAGAAAATAATACTGAATGTAATCTGTGATTGAAAAAAAGAAACCTTAAAAGCATAGGCAAGAACTCAGGGCAGAAGTCAGACACAGACAAATACAGCAGTCTTAGGGTTACGTCGGACTCCACGTACGTCGTTTCGTGGTTACGTTGCCATTTCCCATTTATTTATTAAAAAAAAAAGTTCCATAATTTCAACGTATGTACATATGTGATTTATGTTTTTTATTATTTATTTACCACAAGTAAAGGTCAGGAATTGTTCTTTCTTTTAAATTTTTTTTACTGTTTCACTTCATTACTGCTGTGTATGTGCTCCATGTGAGTGACGTAGGTGCTTATGTAGGTGGGTTCAGACTTATGGTGAAAATAGCACGTTGTGCTTTAGGAACGGATCTCCAATGTAACCCAAGGACCTACTGTACCATATGATTTCACTTGTACGTAGAATCTAAAAAAACAAAACAAAAACACATAAAACAAAAGAGCAATAGACTCACAGATAGAACAAACTGATGGTTGCCAGAGTGGAAGGGGTGGGGAATAAGTGAAAAATGTGAAGGAGAATAAGAGTACAAACTTCCAGTTATTAGATAAAGAAGCCACAGGGATATAGTGTACAACACAGGGAATACAGTAAATATATATATAAAAAAAAGGCTAATATGCAAATTGACTGAACAGCAGAACCACGGGTCGCTATGACGCACACTGACCACCAGGGGCAGATGCTCAACACAGGAGCTGTCCCCTGGTGGTGAGTGCGCTCCCACAAGGGGAGCGCCACTCAACCAGAAGTCAGGCTCATGGCTGGCGAGCACAGCAGCAGTGGCAGGAGCCTCTCCTGCCTCCGAGACCGCCCTAAGGATGTCCAACTGTGGGAATGTCAGCAGTCAGACATTCCCCGAGGGCTCCCGGATTGCAAGAGGGCACAGGCCAGGCTGAGGGACACTCCCAGTGCATGAATTTCGTGCACTGGGCCTCTAGTATCATAATAGCATTGCATAATGACTGTTAATAGACTTATTGTGGTGATCACATTGCAAGGCATATAAATACCAAATCATCATGTTGCACACCAGAAACTAATACAATTGTATATGCCAACTATACTTTAGTAAAAAATTTTTAAAAATTTTAGGGCATTCTGATGAGTTAGGGCTAAACGGAAAGCGATGATAGGCTGCTTTGGAATGAATATAAGCAGGGGATCACTCAAACTCTTTTGCTGATAGAAGATGGGACCAAAAATGCAGTTCAAGCAGTTTCTAAAACAACAGGGAAGCCCCACGGGTGAATTACAGCCTTGAATTCTCTAGAGAGCCAAATGTTATTATTTATTCTTTGTGATTAACAAAGCAGACGGAAGTAACATTTTTGGTAGCCCACCCCTTCACACACACACACACACACACACACACACACACGTTCAGTTAGCATTTTAAATTTAGGAAGCCGACGTCAATTCAGGGGCACTACAAGTTATGTTCTTTTATGTATGTCAGCAAACTAACACACCCCTTTATTTTTTTGTGAATAAGAGGAAATTGCTTACTTCCAGTTATAATTTACCTTGTTTTGGCTTCAATAGCTACGACAATAATATATCACAAACCTGAGCAATGACAATACAAGTACTTTGCCTGGTAGTCCTACTTTTCATGTTTTAATATACATTACCTATAATATTCCTTTCTACAAATATGATCGCCTTCATCTGGGAATCTCATAGAATGCTGTGATTACCTATACACAGCCCCATAACTATGCTCCTCATTTTTATTTTTTGTTAAAGGAAACTACTAAAACCTTAAAGTGAAAAACACATGAGAAGGAAAAGAGAAAAGTATGGACATATAAGTAGAATATTAATACCATGCAGTTAACTTTTTACTAAGAGAACCTTCAGATGCATACACGTAATGTATGTTCCCATTACATAGCATGACTCACAAACGAGAAACTAGCTCAGAGAAATAGCACAGTCTAGTAGAACGCCCCCCCGTGCCACAGGGCTCATGATTGGCAGGAATCTGGACTGTCACACACCTTGAATGTGGTACTTACTCTCTGGCTTCTGACTGGGAGTCCAGAGACCTGAGTCTTTCCTCTCAGAGTCACCACTAATTCTAGGGCCCTGAGCCAAGTGCCTTTCCCTCAGGGTCTCTAGGCCTCCTCTGGGCTTGGGATAGGAGTATCTCAAGGCTCCCCCCGTCTGTCTATCAGATGACGGGGAGCATCTCACAACCTTCCTGCACGTGAGGAGGCTCTGTGGCCAGATCTGGGCGTCCCAGGACGGGCGTCTTGCTGCCACCACAGGTGTGCTGAAGAGGAGCACCTCTCAGAGATCCGGCGCAGTCCTGGCCTCTTCATTTCTGGTGGCAACTTGACAGCACAGCTCAGGTGCCTGATGAAACCTCCCCACAGTGTAAAGCAAGTTGGGGGGGGGGTAATAAATGACAACAACAGGTACCTGTCTTTGGCGGCCGTGCATGTTGTTACTAAGTTACTATGATTAAGGTTTAAAGCCCAGTATTGGCCAACTGGGCTTCTCCCTCTTCAACCCTGCAGGTATCCCTAGGAATCCAACCCCCCTTCCTTCCTTTCTTCTTCAAAGGGCGAATGAAATGCTGCAGACAGGGTGGTGAGGGAGAGGAGAGAGCTCAGATAACCTTGATAGGGTAGTGGTTGATCTGTCCACAAGATAACACCCAAAACTTATTTTTATTTTGTGTTGGGGGAGGGAGTTTTACATTGTCACAGGAAAGAACAACCAGTTCCACAATTATGTGGCTAATATAATGAAGAAAATGTGTGTGTGTGTGTGGGGGGGAGGGCGGGCATGGAGGCGAGGTAAGGCACAGTGACCTCCCCATACAAGCGATGCTAGTCCTCTAACCTCCCCGTATGCTACCTCAGACCAGCACTCCCTGAGCGCCAG